AGGCTTTTTGAAAACAGGCTGATGTAAAAGGTCTGTCTTATTCTCTTACACTTTCTTTGTGAACTTTGTGTCCTTTTAATCTACTTACAACTCTTGAGTACAGTAACAATGCTTACAGGATGATGTTTCTGCTGGAGAAAGGAGATTGCTTCAGAAGGACAAGAGGGAAATGGTCTCCCTTTCTAGCAAATTATCTGAGAGAGTTTCATTTACTCAGCTGACATAATGGTAATGGATAGTTTATGTGAATATAGCAGATTATGGGAGTAAGGTAAATCTCATAACAGAGGGGGTAAGGCAGTGAGGTTTTGCACAGAGAAGGTATTAGTTGCTATGTATGGAGCAAAAAAAAAAGGCCATCTCACTGTGCTGTTAGTCTTGCTTGTGCAGAACTTGTGCTTTTACTTAGCAAAGCACTGCTTGTGCTAGCAAAGTTCCTACCCTCCTCAGATAATTCAGGTTATTCAGTCCTTGCAAAACCAACTGACTTTTATCTGAAGGTGCTCAGCTCAGTGTATGGTACTACTAATTTATAGTCAGTGGTGCTGTTGTAACCGTGAAGAGTTTTTCAACTGTTAGTATTTTGGGATGCTGAAAGCAGCAAATCTGAAATGTGGACTGGGTGATGAGAGGATATGCTTAAGTTTAGGGTGCAGATCACTTGGAAAACAGCCCAAGTGGCTCTGGAAAGTAAATTTGTAAGTCTAGTCTCTTTATTAGGTTAGAATGTTCACTCTACAGAGACCAGAAGATGACTCATAAGGTTCCTTTCCACACAGCACCTTAGTCTGCCCAGACCTCACTGAATGGCAGCACAACCTTCTGGTGTGTCTGGAAACACACCTCTTCTAGGGTAGAAGTTCATTGCTTTCCCCCTGCTTCTCCCCTTACCTTGTGAGGTATACTACATACTAGCAGTTATTGATGCCTATACTCTCTCAGGAGCAAAATAAATCCATGAATTTTCTGTGAGCATCTCCAAGCAAAAGCTGACCTCTGTCTAGCTAGTGTTGGCTGCTTTTTTTTTTCCTTGAGGAACTGTGAATAATACTGGTGCTGAAAATTAAAATTTACTAGGAAGGTCTTGAGATTCATTGTAGAGTTGAGTTTTCTCTGAAGTAATAACAAAATTACAGTGGATAACTTGTGTAGCCTATGTTTGAATCAAATACTCTTCTAAGATTTAGCACGAAACTGCATACCCTATATATAAATATACACTGTTAGCTTGAAATTCAGTGACACACCTTTGCTTCATACGCACTTCCCTGTCAGACATCATTTTGCCAGACTGTCCCTTTGCTGACATCTGTTACATGGCAACAAAATATAATGGAATATTGGCAGGAAGTTTCAACTTCTGTTGCCATACCAACATCTACCTCTGTTGTCATAGGCCAACACAGTAAAATAGGAGGCATTACTTTCAGAGCAGCCATTGTAACATATAAAAGTGCAAATTACTCATCCTACTTTTTGCCCCTTATGCTTTCTACTAGGTTAGCTCTTACATTCTGTCTTATGAGCTTGAATCAAGTGTGTGTGTGTGAAACAAACATCTGTACTAAAAGTGAATGTTTTTCTGAAGAGGAAAATGGGCACCTAGGTGGATAACAGAAAGGAAAGAAATATTTTGTTCTGATCTGCTTTCTTAGTGATGAATTTACAGTATCGTGGAAATTGTACAGTATAGCTGTCCCTTCTGTGTGAGATCAGGACTGAATTTACCATGGTACAGCTGTGTACTTCAGTGTTTCTTCTGCCTGCTCACTGGGTACACTTTTACTGGGCAAATCAAGAGTTCTTCAGCATCCCTGTCTGTGACTGGTTTCTAAAGAGCAAAACTTCCTTCCCTCTTCTGTATTTCCAGTGTTGCTTTTTAGTTTAGGACCAAATATGGAGGATTATTAGTAACTGGTCAGAGTGGAAAAGATGAACAACCAAGCATAGCTGGCATTTGAATTTATGTAAGCTTGAAAACTTAGTTTGTGAGAATGCTCCTTGCAACCAAATACAGTGTGTGCTCAGTTTAGTTCATTGCTTGTCTTGTGCATTTGTGTTGCAGTCCATGTTGTGACTGATCTCCTGAAACTTTCAGGCCTCTTACGTGGTTTCATCTGTTTATTCTTGGAATGGGAGTTTATAGTAATGCTGTTTATACTAAAGATGGGTGAACTATTATAGCAAGTGGAGAGATCATCATGAACCTTTGCCCTGAACTCAAATCAAACTTTGTGACTTTAAAGTCCTGTTTCAGTGTTCAGTGTCACTGTACTTCATTTTGTCAAGACTGGAAACAAGTGCCAAAATACAAATTGTATTTCCAGTGTCAGCCTCAGATTTCACAAGCGTATCTACTGTCATGAGAGAGTTTATGGAGTTTGAGACCTTGCAAGCTTTGGTAGTGAGCTTCCTAACTCTTGCTGCTTAGTGCAGCTTCCCCAATAGGATTTGCCCATCACTATGTCATATATGCCTATAGAACAAGATATTAATTTTTGAAATAATAAGCGTTCTGTGGGGAAATGTGTGCAGATGATTGCTTGTGGATGAAGTACTAAAACATAAATGTCATGTAGCTACATTTTTCTGCTGTTCAAACATGGACCATCCTGACTTGACCTTCCTCCTATACCTGTTGCAAATCTGTTGGCTAATTCTTCTATGAAATTATGTTGGAGCTGTCTAGTGCAGATTAACAAAGTAAACTTTCTTTTGGACTCTATATTTGACAACAAAATATTACTAGTATGTTTCTGGAACCTAGGTTTCTCCAAATTTATTTGCTGTTGAGGAAGTTTCATGGTTTCACATTCCATACTTGGATCCAGTTTTGAGCAATCCATCTAGTAGAGTCTGATTAGTAGAGCCAATTATAGGAATAATCAATTCTGGTGGTGTCTCTTTTCCTCCTTTCTATTCCCAAGGAGGAACTGTATTCCTTCCTCTCTCTCTGTTTATTGTTGTATCAAAGAATGATCTGATGTTTGTTTTAACAATGAGATGACGCTGAATTCACTGCTGTCCAGCACTCCTTAGGACTGGTGTGCTACTTGAATATTTATATCATACTGACATTTGCTTACTTTAGAGAAAGCTTTATTTCCTTGGAATATTTATCATAGTATCTAGGAATTTCCATGTTAAACTGCTGTTGGATCTGAATGTTGTATATAATTACCTAGGTTCAAGGCCAGTTGCCTAAGGGAAGTTGATTTTCAAAGAACCAGTTCTGTGGCATTAGTTAGCTGAAGTAAGAGCTGGCAAGGATTTTTCTTGGACTGACATTGAGCAGCCTGGAAACAAGATTTATACCTCACTTCACAAGTATGGATAGCTTTGTCCGATGTATTAGGGGAAAATTAGAGAAGCCTCTCCCTGCATACTTGGCACCATGGGTGGTGATGATGTGATATCTGATGTGATCTGTTGACCTAGTTATGGTCTTGGATAGAAAATAAGATTTGACATCTTTTCCTTCCTGCTTTTTCCCTCCTGATCTCCATCAGTCTTTTTTTTTCTGATGGTTAAGGGCGGGGAGGTTGGTGCAGAATTCAGTTCTTGCCTTTCTGATACACTGTGATGCTCTGACCCCCTTTGTACGTGGAACAGTAACATCCACCTTGAGACCTGATCAGATCTCAGCCTCCTGTTGTTTCCCATCAACTTATATGACTCTCTTGGGCTTCTGGGGCTAAAACTGCTCTTTTGCTGCTGTGCATAAAGAGGTGCTGTGATTTATGAATCAATTAATCACTGCGTGCTGAGGGGTTGTTCACGGTAGTTAAACAATGAAAATAAGATGCTTGAGTATATAATAAAGATGGATCATAATGAATACGGCCCTCTACTGCTGAATTCTCTTCCTCTACTCATTTTATCCCAATACAGCTAAACTATTGGTATATGAAATCTGTTTGTTTTTGATGGCATTGAGTTCATCCAATTGCTTGACAAAAATGGTCTCTATTTGTATGATTTTTTTTCAATTTCTGGTTTGATTTCAGTTTGCTGCCAAATCTGATAAAGCTTCAAAGCAGAAAAAGAAAAATAGACTCTGATATTACTGCCTGTAAATCTTTTTCATAGTTACAATAAAGTCTACCTTTGTGTCCCCAAAACTTAAGGAGGGGAAGCCTGGCCTGTAAAAGCATTTAATTGAGTGAAATTCAATAAACTGAATATGAAGCTTTATTCCTTCATCTACTTTACCACATCTGCTGATTTAGAACTCCTGTTTTTTGTTTTTTTTTTTGCATATAAGAGATAACTTCAGACTAGTGCATAAAAATATTAGTTTCCATTACATAGCTGTTATTGTTTGCTCTGTTTAACACGCACATAATTGCTCTGCGTTTGTAAGACTGCAACATACTGTAAGAACTAATCAAGTTTGGTGAGAAGCCCTGCTACGAATGCAGTTTGGCTTCATGATTTACTGAAGCGCTGTGCAATTTGAGCCAACAGTCAATGACTGTAGTCAGATTAGAGTGGCATATTTAAAAATCTATCCATTAGTTAAGGATATGAGGCAAGAGCAATCCAGTCACATGATTTTGCCCCCAAAATACATTTTCCAAGGAGAAAATTGTTCATTACAAATGGTGAAAAGATAGCGAACCTTGCTGATTTCACTGGAGTTGCTCTTGATCTTACCTGTGTAACTAAGAGTAGATTTCATTCAAGTTAGAAATTAGGTGCAGTGGTGTGAAGCAAGTTAATTCGTTTTCCCTGCCATGCAGTGAAATTTGTAGTGGAATTATAATACTTGTAATTTATCAGTAAAAGTAAAAAGTATTTCTTTTCAACATAAGTTAGTTTCTCATTTTGTTTAACCTGCTGCTGGCATATATTAACTGTATCTAATGACTTCTGTTTGCTTGCTAAGTTGATCTCATAAATTGGCTTTTGAAATGCACAATCAGCAGTAATAATGTTTCGCTGCGCTGACAGTAGTTAAATATTTCTCGTCTGTTTCCCCTTCCTTCTCTGTTTTTTAGGACCCAGGCTTCTCTTCAGTGATTCATGACAAACTTCAAGTTCCCAATACTATTCGGAAGGCATGGAATGAGAAGGACAACAGATGCGACGTTTGTGCCACACATTTGAACCAGCTGAAGCAAGAGGCCATTCAGATGGTGCTGACCTTAGAGCAGGCTGCCAACTCAGAACATTACGATGCCTCTCCAGTATCTCCCCCACCCCTCTCTAATATTCCCACACTAGTGGGTTCCCGGCACGTGGGCAGCTTGCAGCCCAGGGACTGGGCATACATGCCTGCTCCTTATGCTACATCTAATTATACAGGCTTTGTTGCCAACAAACACAGTGGAAAACCCAACAGTCTAGGAATTGTTAATGGGGTGGAGAAGAAAAATGGCTCTCCTGGACACCAAGCCAAGGTCAGCTTTCAAATGGCCACCAGCCCCAGCAATGGTAACGTTCTCAATTCTGTGGCTATCCAAGCTCATCAGTACCTCGATGGCACTTGGTCTTTGTCGAGAACGAATGGTGTTACTCTATATCCCTACCAAGTAAGTAGTTTTAAATAACAGTACTTTTTCTTTTTTTTCTTTTTGTTTTGTTTTCCCTGTAGAAGCTTGTAGGGGCATGCTAACACTGCCTGGTCCTGTTGAGGAGAAGCAGAACCATTCACGTACTAAGGACTGGAAGAAGAAAGGTTTTAAATTCTCTTTTACCTGGTAGGGAATGGAATTGTGAGAGACAGAGATCATGACCAATGTTCATTGAGAGACAGAGATCACGACCAATGTTCATTAGAACAACTTTTATTAATGCAGCTGTTATTAATAATAGAACCAAACTGTTGTTATTAATAACCAATAACTAGTCACACAGTCTATTCGTTTGTTCTTCCACTCAGATCATGCATCTCACTCATAATGCTTGGTTGGAGATTGAGCATATGGCTGGGAGGCCAACCACTTGTTTATTTATGGAAGCAGTGCTGATGTACCTGTACTTCTGGCTAGGTATTTGTGAAGTATTCATAGTGACTTTTTAGTTCATCATTTGCATATATGGTCCTATTGTTTTTGGGTAGCAGCTACCACATGTGTTGATGTAGCTCAAAGTTACCTACGTTCTATTTTTGCTAGTGTGTGCTGGTGGCCTTCAACAGATTAAACTGATTCTTGATGTTTTGATTTGTAGTATTCTCATGAATTCAGAAGGACCAGTAATTTCCAGAGCTTAAATGTTTTAGGAAGATATTCTTGTACTTATCAGCTTGTTCTTTTGCTCTTTTCTCATCTGCTGCTTTTGCTAACCATCCACATTCATGGGTACCTGTAGAACCCATCCACGCTAACTCACACAGAAGGGAGAAGTAGGTTTTGCAAAATACTTAGTTGTAGGTTGTGGGAATTTTAGTGTGCCCAAGAAGCCTATTCTGATTCAACACTCCCAGCCATCCCTGTTGGACATGAATAAGTATCTTTGGAAGTTGTTCTTTCTATTAAGTTATGAACCAACTACAAGATAGGTCCCTAAATTAATACATGAAAGTTTCTTGGTATGAGAGTGACTAATATCATTGCCTGAAATAAAACAATGTTATTCATAAGTGCTAAGTTGTTGCTATGCACTGAAAAAGACGTGGTAAAACTAGTAGTGCATTATAATTATTTTACCTGGAAAATGTGTCTTCATAGTTTTGTGGATCTATGCCCTAGTGAACCTGAATCACATTTGGGCAGGTTTCTATCTAATCACAGTTTGATCTAAAAAGAAAAAAAACAAAACAAAACAAAAAAACACATGTTAAGAAAACTGAGCAATAATTTTTATTAGGAAAATTAGATGAATCTCATTGCATTCATGATAGTTTCATCTTCTATGAAAATGTCTTTATCTTTTAGTAATGTTCATGATTGCTAGGCAGTTTTTGTCTTAAAAATACTCATGAAGGAGAATCTAATACTCAAAACTTTCTGGAACAATACCATTTGACTCTACTTAGCACAAAACTGTTCCCTAGCGTTTTCCTCTCCTTTAGCTAAACTTGAAATAGAAAGGATAGTAGCTGCAGTCTGCTAGCAGGTTCAACACCTTCCCCCCAAACCAAACAACAAAAAAAAACACCAAAAACCCTACTACCCCAGCAATACTGGTTTGTGATGGAAGGGTTGAGAGGTAAATTTTATAATCTCTGTAAGATTAAAACCTTCAAATACTGAATTTCTCACTTTACTCAAGTGTCACATTTAATTGTCTAGTCAGGGAATTACGATGATAGTTCTTCTTAAACGTGTTGCATATTTTTGTCAGAACACTTTAGTTCTCTCTCCCTCCCCCCATATGTACACATTTTGTTATTTTCTTACCATTGTAGTTACAAAATCCTGTTGGAGAAGAGCACTGAGGATGAATCTGTTATCCTATCTCAATTAGAACCCTGATTTTATTTATTTAAAGGAGAATTAAAAAAAAAAAAAGAAACACTAGTTATTTCTAAATATGTATACTCATTTTTTCTTTAAGAATAATGATTAAATAAACTTCACTATGTATTAGTTTAGAAGAATAGAAAATAATGGAGAGAATCTATTGGGATAGAAAGTCTTGCACCTCACACAGAAGTACAGTGCTCTTCTTTCTGCATTATAATTTTGTCAAACTGATGTTCAGGGAGAACTCAGTCTCTTTGCTCTAGACTTAATGGTGCCTGTTTGTAGGCACCTCCCATTGTAAATTAGCTTCTGTTAGACAGTCCAGATAACTTGACAGAAATGGTTGAGTACCTTGAAACATGACCTTATTTTCTTGCTGCATTATCAGCAGAAAGCGAAACACATTAGACTGGAAGAGGCAGTGCCTCAGAACTTGATTCATTACAATTTTAGTCACTAAAAATATTCCTATTATTGTAATTTCTAGGATGTTGGTTGTTTCTTAGGATCTTCTTCAGACTGTTTCAGGATGAATGAATTGCAGCTTTTGTTTCAGTTCTGCTGGAATAAATAAGCGTTGTGGTATTGTAGGGGTCAACAATGCTGCAATAGCATAGGGTAAGTCTTAAATGATACCCACTGTTCAATCAGTTCTGCAGAAAAAGTAGTTGCTCTCAGGAATAAAACAAATGTAAATTTATAGATTAGTCGATTTAGTAATTTAGCATATGTTTACAGTCTGAGAAATAGGAGTAATAATGTCTAACTGGAGATCTTTGTCAGATGTAAAAGAACCTCTGTCATGATACAGACAGTTCAACACTGGAATACATTTCTTGGAGGTGTTTTGGGAACTCACTGTTGGTACCTCTTTAGAATAAGTCAGAGAACTATCTACGCACAATAGTTTAGGCAAAACTGACCCTACCTGGCAATTACTCCAAATGACCCCATCGGTCCCCACCATTCTTGTTTTACATAATTCCACATTTAGCTGCACTTTGACTAGACTTAAAGATTTACTTCCAAAAACTTGTGATCTTCCCTAAACCCAACTCACAAATGAGCAGCTGATGCAGGTTTCTCCAAGGAGTTGAATCAAACTTCTCTGGCAAGTTGGTTCTCTTATGAAACAGGGAATTGCATGCAGAGAAAGGAACTGATTAATCTTAAAATGTGTGACCCATTAAGAATCTCCTATTAACACTGGAATGCTGAAATGGTTACTTTGTGAGGTAACTGTAACCCATTTCTGTCGAATTGTGTGTCAGAAAATACCAGCCAAAATTCAGTACAATGAATAGAGTCTGGAAACTGTGCTCTTTCAGTCACCAGAAGAGAGCATTTGGATAAATACCACAGGGATCAGGCTACGATTTAACACTTGCAAAGGCTCTTTATATCTCAAAGTGATTTCAGTCCTTCCCCGCTGAGAAAAAATTGTTGAAATTGTTGAGGTTTTACCTGTAATTATTTGTGCAACTGCTAATGTGAAATCACAGTGTTAAGTACACTTCTCTTGCTTACCAGTTATCATATAATACTTTTAAAGATTGAGGAACTATTGAGTTTGGGATGCAGGAGCTGTAAACACCATGATGAAATGACTGCTGCTACTCATTTTTACAGACTGTGATTCTAAATTGAATGCGTAACTTTTCTATTACTTCCTTAGTAATAGAATTAGCTGCTAAAAATCTGCTGGTTCAGCTATTATACCACTGTGTTAAAGAACAGATTAAATAAATTAATAGATTAATGAAATAGATTTGAGTCCTTCAGTAGTTCAGACTTATGTAGACTTTGCTTTTGAGGAGAAATGAGTAGACAATAGGTGAGTAGATTGAAGTGTAAAGTGCAGTAAAATGCTTCAGAGTAAAAGTGCACCTCTGCTTTGCAGTAGTCATTCTTCTTTACAATCAGCATCCTCTTTTAGCCTGAATTAACTGCATAGTTCTCCTGTGTTGGTGTACTTCTAAACCTCTAAAGTGGCATTAGTTGCTTTGTGGTTTGAATTGCAGAATGTTAAATTTCCTTGGTCCCCAGGGCTCCTCTGGTTATCTTACTAAAACTTCATCTTTTAATGTTTTAAATTTTAAGTAGATTATTAAAATTCAATATAAAATCAGCAACAGCATGTTTGTAGATCCTAGTGACAGGAAGGTAAGAGAATAAACAGATCTAGGAAGCGCCAACAGCTTCAGGAACAGCGTAGGCTGTGGAAGGGAAGGATGGGGAACAGACAACATGGTTGTTGGTGTGGGTATGGTGAGTACCTCCTGCTTCTGATCTTGAGGTTGTAATGTTTAAATTTGGTACAGAAAAAGATGTATATGTAAGGCTTTCAGTGGGGATATTGTGATCTTAATGATAGTCAGTGAAAAAGTGCTTCTTTCTTTACTGCACTTGAAAAGACCCTTTTGACCAAAAGTTTGGAAAATGAAATCTTAAACTACATAGTGCCTCCTGGCCTCAGGCATAATGATCTCAAGTCTATTGAGAAAATTATCAAAGGCTTTGTTTGTGTACAGTTGATGAAAGCCTACTGTGCTTTCTGTTTCCTCTTTATTTAAAATATGTGTTTAGAAGAACACTGTTCTCTGAGAAAGAACCAGCTTTTTATGGAGTTCTGCAGTGATGAATGATTTGTTTGGAGTTTACTTAGGTCATGGCTGTCTCATAACACATCAGTTCTTTCAGGCACAGACTTTTAAAAAGAAACTGGTAATGGTTAGGGTTGGGCACAAGATGAAGAGTTCAGATACAGAGCCAAAGCCTGTGTGTGGGGTATTCTCACCCAGGATTTTGATTTCAAGTTTTTTTTTAGTCTCTGTCTAATTTCTTTGTTTTCCACTTGCTGCTGTGTCCACTTGCTTCTTCAAGTGTTCAATGTGATAAAGCTAAAATGTTAGTGATTGCTACAACGCTGCCACAGTAATCTAAGCAGCTTTTGAAACATATAGTGCAAGATACAGAAATCGTGTTACTTGTTCCATCTCTGGGTTGACAGGTGTCTTCCTAGAGCCAGACCCATTTTGCCAAAGCATCTTAACAACAAAGCAAAAGGAGATCTATATACTGTCTTTTCTAATACCATATTCTTGTATGACCACACATGATTC